TGTGCACTGGATTCTACATCAAAGCGGCTGGCTTCACCTGGCCCTTCCTCACCGCGGTCTTTCTACATCTGATAAACCTCTTCTATGTGCTCGTGGTCTTGAAGGAGTCCCTGGTTCTTCCAAATCCCAGTCTGTCTTCGTCCGGCCACTTAGCTTCTGAAGCCCCTCGACTAAACCAGTCTCAAGCTCTTACCGCCCGTCTGCAGGGCGTCTACCTGCTCTTTGCAGCCTCGAAACGGAGAAGGAACATAGTGCTGTTGCTCATGCTGGCTGCTTTTGCCTTTTTCAGGGTGATTATGATCATTCTGGCATTATTCACAAGCTCCATCTGTTTGTGGTACATCAGAAGTCACAGTGAAGTGCCTCTAGTGACACCAAACGGAAATGCAAATATAAGAAATAATGGATGCTTCCAAACTAGTTACATTGACAGGTTATATTATAAGCCTTCTTAAATTGATACAGCGGAAGTCAATTAAAAATATGAATGGATAATTACATATATAACTCACAGTGTGATTTAATATGTCATAAATGTTCCTGTTTCTCATTATTGCGTCTTTATATTTCATAATGTAAATGTATAGTTCAAAAATATTTCAATATAGAAATAAAGATGAACACTGAAAAATATGTAAAATTAAGTATAATATATTATTATATAATATAGTATATTACTTTTATTTTATTTTTATATTTTAATAATAATTCAAAAAAATAAGTTTTAATTGAAAGATGAGGAGTTAGTACGGAGCCCCTAAAGGGACATGGTGGTGGAAAAAAAATTCGGGGTGGGAGGAACATTTTTTTGCGTTCTCTCGCAAAACTTTTGCGTTCTCTCGCAAAGATATTTGCGTTCCCTCGCAAAACCAGTTTTCGGACAAACGCTTCCTGTTTACTTTACAGCTTGTAAGTTAGTGGTTCATACAGCTCGTACGTTCATAATGGAGCGGTTCATAGAGCTTTATTTTAAACTTGGACTCAAGTTCAAATACAGTCAGCTTTGCTTGTAGTTTAAGGCACGGTTTTGGGACATTCTAAAACACTTAATGTGGCTTAATGTAGGCTACTATAGCCTAACAGTAACACTGGAGGCCCAATTCGGTATTAGGCCTAATACATATTATTAATACTAATAACAATTGTAATATTAATGACCTATTGACTGTGTAACATTTTATCTGTATTGGTGATTCTATGTTTTATTTTAATAATGAACAGGCCGTTTGCAATGAATATGTGCGCATGAGGCGCCGGCCCGATCAAATCGCTGAAACATAAAATACTCCGTCACTTACTGTAGGGCATAATTCGAAATTGCAAAGTGCTAGCAGTTTGAAGATTAAATCATATAAAAGGTTATTAGAAATTTTATAACGCGAGCACTGTTACGTTCTTACTTCGCTCTGAAACCTACGAGAATGCAATTTTCCCTGAATATCCAAAAGACTGCAAATGTGACATTGATTTTATATAACAGTTCAACAAAAAAGGCAATATTAAGTGTACATTTTACATTTTAAATGTAGCCTACATTTTAAACACAATATTGTCAATATTGTTTGTTATATTTTACAAGGAAATAATAGTTCCAACGAAATCCGCAACAGAACTGGTGTGCCTCTCCAAGCAACAGCAGTGTTTCATTAGTGAATGAATCTGCAGCTTTGAATGATTCTGAGAGTACTGATAATTGGAACTGATTAATAACCCTTTCATAACTACAACCATTTGCTTCGTTACTGAATGAATGAATGCTTCGCCTTGCTCATTAGACAGTGACTTGCCGCCACCTACTGGCGATTTTAGTTTTGAATCTACAAGTATAACTTCGTTTTGCCATCATTTATTGCTTTATTTATTATATTAATAATACACGTAATGAAATGTGAAGAATATGACATAAAACACGACATACAATTAATAAGGCTAGAAAAACTTTGCCTCTATAACAGTAAAAATGCACATGTAAATCAATTTAAGGGGGCAAATATGGTCCCTTAATGGAAAAGGTGTAACTGCGGTCTAAGTGGGGGTACTCAGAAGAATGTTAGGCTAAATGCCCTAGGGGTACGCCATTGTAAAAGATTTGAGAACCACCGGTTTAATGGATTACTGCGTTGATTGCCTGTAGCATATTTTTAATAAAATACAACATTTGGGCTTTTTATATCACTGTCTTCTTATATGAAGCCACGTTAAGCGCGGTTTTCTATGGGGAAGAAAACGCTTATCATGCAATTCAGCTCATATGGGCTCATCTGCTTGCATGTACACAGAATATATTTTTAATAAGTTCTATAGCATATTTTGACTTTTTTTTTATCACCGTCTTCATTAAGCCGCATTTCTCCCACCCCAAATTTTTTCACTCAATCTGATTTTTTTCCACCACCATGTCCCTTTAGGGGCTCCGTAAGTTAGCCCCAATTTAAGCACTAAGATGATGATGATGATTGTGTCCTTCACAGGTAGCCCTGCAGGGTGGCATGTCCATCTTTATCTTGTATGAGCTGAACACTCCTCTGTGTTGGAGTGAGGTGTTTGTGGGTTATGGCTCGGCTCTCTCCACTGCCATCTATCTGGTGAGTTTCGCCGGTGTGGCGCTGCTGTCCCGCTATCTACCTGATGCCTACATCATCCTGCTGGGGCTGATGTCTGTGGCAGCCGGCCTCATCATGGCAGCGTTTGCAAAGTCTACCCTGCTCATGTTCCTGGGTAAGACTGAGTTTGGGCATTTATGGAGATTCTAAAGGGTGGATGGTTGGTCTATTTTCAGGTAAAACAATTGTGTATGTTTTATTTATTGCAGTGAGGTTGCCTTTGCTGCTGTCCATCATGCCAACTCCTGTCTTACGATCCATGATGTCCAAAATAGTGTCTGGATCTGAGCAAGGTAAGAATCACAATAAAATAGAATAGATAAACTTACATTTTAATTTAATTTGTTTCAGTTTTTCGTTCATTCCCAGCAAACAAATCCAGGCGTTCCCAAAAAATAGAACATTCCCAATTCACTTGAACTCTGAATTATTGTATGTAAGGCTGTAAGGTTGTTCCTTGTGGCTGTGTGTTTGTGTACAGGTGCCATGTTTGCGTGTGTAGCCTTTGTGGAGATGTTGAGTGTTGGTGTTTCATTTACAATGTTCAGCAGCATCTATGCAGCTACACTCTCCTGGTTCTCCGGGTTTAGTTTCCTGCTGGCTGCAGGCCTAACTCTCATACCAGCTGTCCTGATCTGGTAAGTAGCCCACCTCTAGGCCTATATTCATAAACTGCAACAATTATACTTGTGAAAACATCTGGTTTTATTAAAGAGATAGTTTAGGCAAAATCGTCAATTCTGTGATTCAGTCATGTCATCCCAAATTCAGATGCTGTTGTTTTTGTCTGTAGAACATAAATGTAGAAATCTGAAGAATTAATACACAGCTCCTGCCATATAATGGCAATTCACTTAAAATGTACAAAAAGTGTTGTTTTCTATTTAAAAGAATCAGTGTCCTTTACTTCCACACTATTTTTCGTTCATTTAAGTCGCTCCCTTTTGGAAAGTGACTGATTTATTCAAAGACTGATGAGCCAATAGCATTCGAGTAAGGACTGTGAAGGAGCATTTCATTGGTTGAACAGATTGTGTAAAAACATAGCACATTAATAACACACACACACACACAAAACAAAAACAAAAAAACAATTATTTTCCCCTTGAATTAGTAAAAGTAAGAGATTACTCTGTTTTTCTGTAATTTAATTATGGTTACTTCTGATGTAATTGCATTAAATAGTGTATAGACTATAGAACAATTCTGTATAAAACAATATAACATCAAAATGTAACATCTAATGTTAAAATGTATGTTTTTAATGTTACCGTCTCCCTTTAAATACTTTGATCAGTTCAAGAATAACTTATTTAATTTCATATTGTTTATTTGAAAGAATTAAAAGAGCAGTTTCATATCTATCCCTGTATTGTTCAGCTGGTCGAGGTTAAGAAAGTATTTAGTAATTAGTAATGCAACACATTTTGGAGAGAGTAGGCCTAATTAGTACAGTAATCTAATTACACTGTTGAAGATTAGTAATTACTCTTTTAGAGTAATTTAATCAACACTACTCACCGAACAAATCAGTGAACGCTTCTTAATACTTTTGGTAATTGGGTTCAAAAGACTCTAGTCACTAGGATGAATCAAATTACTTGCCACTAAAAACACCAAAAAAGTAGTCCACATGACCTGTGCACTATATACCAAGCTTTCTGTAGTAGTAACTGAATGCAAATCAAATGTTAATTTTTAAGTGAACTAAGTGTTAATAATTCAATGTTGCTATTATTATGCTTAATTATTAAACTTTTGTCTCAGATAAAATTTCAAATGTAACACATTGACACATACTTTCCCCTTAGTGTTATTCTTTTTCTCCGTCTGGATGTGTATGAGGAATCCATCATACTGACAGAAGAGAGGATGGAAAACCACACAGAAATCTTAGAACTATCACCATAACATGGACACTGGGAGCTCATTTCCTCGAACTCTTTGGCACAATAGTGTCCTCTGGTGGAACGTTGAATGGAGAGGTTAAAAATCTGGAACCAAGGACTCTGATGTGTGTAGATGTTCTTGGTTTCTTTTTGGGATGAGAATGAATTGTTTTTTTATGGTTAGATGAAGAACAGCTGAAAGACACTGTCATTCACATGGGTGAAAATGGCTTTAAAAATGTAAAATTTGTTTTTATTGAAGTTTATTTAACTTCATGCATACATTGTATATAAGAATGTAAAATTGGCATTTGAAAGTTGTTACACATTGATATATGTTCTAAAATATGATATTGATATTGTATTTTTTTAAATAAATCATTTGTAAAACTTGTCACTCTTTCCTGTTATAGATAAATGACATCCCTTCAACACACACAAAAAACTGAAATATGTTTAACATGACACATATAAGAAAATCATGTAAAATTTCTAAATGAATGGCTTGCGAGCATCTGTAAACTTCGGGAATATTCAGCGATCATTTCTTCATGAAGTGGCTTATGACATCCATGGGCAGAGGGAAGATGATGGTAGAGTTCTTCTCAGCTGCGATGGTGTTGAGGGTTTGGAGGTATCTGAGCTGAAGGGCGGATGGAGACTCTGAGATCACAAGAGACGCCTCCTTCAGAGCCCTGGATGCATTCATCTCACCCTCTGCTGCAATGACCTGTATTATCACAAACCATTTTAGGGTGTGGCATCACAAATTGTAAATTAAATGTGGTGTCATTTTTTTACCATTTAATTATATTTACATATATTAGTAATGTGTGGCAGTAATACTCACCTTCGCTCTGGCCTCACGGGCCGCCTCCGCCTCGGCTGCCATTGCTCTCTGCAGTTGCTGTGGCAGTTTAACATCTTTAATCTCCACCCGCTCCACCTTGATTCCCCATGAATCTGTGGCCTCATCTAGAGTCATCTGCAGCAGGGAGGAGAATTATAAGACAAACTTTCAGCTACTTGAATCGGACCTGCAATTATCTCATTGATGCACAATTAGCGAAGCCATTATACCTGTCTTTTTCACTATCACACTCACCTGCATACTTTGGGAGATGCCTTCTCGGTCAGAAAGGACCTCAGACAGGTTATTGGTGCCCAGGACATTCCTCAAGGTGGTCTGGGCCAGTAGGCGAGTGGAGTAATCTGCATTAGTCACGTTTGCCACTGAGGCAACAGGGTCATTTACACGGAAGTACACAACACCATCCACAGAAATTGTCACTGAGTCTTTGGTCAAGATCTAAATGCAAACAAAAATGAAAATGTGGCCACTTAGTAAATGCCATAAGTAAATACTAATTGCGAGTCTTAAATGGATAAATTCATGTACATTTTATATTAAACATTAGACTATACAAAAGTTTACAATCTTATGCAAAATAGCATACTATCATTCTGCTCTTACTATTTTCTCATATATGTGGCACAAATATAAGAGCACTATTTAATATGTTATTCCGAATTCAGACTCAAACTTTTCATTCAACAACTCTTTCTCATTCAAGAAGGAAACAAGACTGTCTTTATGACCGAGTCACTGAATCATTCACGGAAAAGATTTGTTCGAAAACACTGATTGTTCAGGATCGAAACGCTAATTGCTAGAAGAGGAGCAGTTGATTCCGTGTTGACTACTCTTGCTGGAGCTATTCACGCCGGCGGAGCAAAAACAGACGAAGTAATTGCCATTATTGTTTGTTAAATGTAAGTTACTCGATATTAACTTTTCGTTTATTGAGTATTTATTTTTAGTTTACCTCCTGGGGAGGGATGTCAAATGAGATGGTTCGAAGATCCACTTTGATAAAGGAGTCCGTGCAGGGGATGATGAAGAAGATTCCTAGACATAGGTAACATTTTTGAATTATATGATCTGTGTCATACATTAGTGATTCGTTATTTGAACTAAACTCCATGTACAGGAGTTGAGCTAGCAGGTCACATTTATTGTTTTAAGAACAAGTTATGTTAAGGTCCTCAGCTGTTAAACAGTTGCTGTGGATCAGAGGAACTTCTAAGGCAAATATTAATTTGCCTTTGACAAAAGTTGGTGTTACTTCAGTATTTGTTTAGCTTGGCCTACTGAATCGAAGATCTGAGAGACTGGCAGTCTACTCAAGTACTGAACATTCTTGTTTACCTGGTCCTTTGGCTTTTCGGGCTGTTATCCGCCCCAGTCTAAATATGACAGCACGCTCATACTCTTTCACAATCTATAAAACAGTAATCAAACATATAAAGTGGGTTATAAAACATTTGAACAACAACTGCAGGTGTAAAACATTCCTGATGTAACTTCCTGTTAAAGTGCAAGACTTAAAGGGGTCATATGATGCTGCTAAAAAGAACATTATTTTGTGTATTTGGTGTAATGAAATGTGTTTATGCGGTTTAAAGTAAAAAAAAACTGTGACGGAAATGTTATGCCCTTCACCATACTGTTGATACCGTCTCCCAGCCGGAGCGACGAAACAAAAAACATAAACCGATTACAAACGAGGCATTTGTTGCATCCAGTGGGGACATAATTACTGATTATAATGACTTATACTGTCTTTTTACG